TGTTCTGAGGCCTAGCTGTCTTATGTGTAAATTAGTAATAAATTACCTGCATCCTGGGATACAAGTATGCTTAAAACACACAATTCTTTAATTTTTTATTTTATAAGGTAGTTCACAATATTTGATTACATTTAATATTCAAACACCAATCCCACCACCATTACACCTTCCTACCACTGTATCTGGGATGTTTCCATCCCAAACCACAATTCCTTTCCCAAAGCAGAACCGAAACAATAAATTGTGTATTGTTTGTTATAAAAAAAAACTGCTGAAGATGCTACCAAAAGAGTATCCATAGAGGAAAGAGAAACACACATTTCAAAATTCTTCGTTCTTAAACATCAGTTTGCTCAACACATTACATGTCTTCCTTTAAAAAAAAAAAACTGCTATAAAACCTAATGACTAATATTTATTTGAAAACCAAGGTTATATTATGGGCATCTGAAAATAAAAAGTATATTAAAGCAGAGCTCTCCAACAAATTTTTATACTCATACTCAAAAGCTAATAACACAGACTTCTGGCTAATAACACAAACTTCTTTTCTGCTTACGTTTTCAGAAAAGTGATGACTAGAGAACAAGGGTTAGTAGGTCAACACAAGAAGTATAAAATGCTACAGGAAAAAAAAATCATCTAGCATGTTGAAATGTGGCAAAGAGATGCCTCACAGGTGGGAGGCCCTGGTTCAATCCCTTACTACTGCCCTCCCTGCCAGTAGCACAAACTAGAGTGACCACTAGTCAGGAGTAGCCACCGAGCACCACTAGGTGTACACCCTCCCCCCCCCACACACACACTTTTTTTTAAAAAAAGGTACTAAAATTCTTCCTTCTTAAGCATCAGTCTGCTCATAAAGAGGTGACAGGCTTCTCCTGATGCCTGTAACTGGGTGGAAACCTGCGTCCATACCAAGGTGCCCGCGAGCTGCTGGACAGCATTCCAGTTCATTACTCAAGTCTGTCTATTGTGGTACTGAAAAACTGTGCCACAAGAGTTTCAGCTTCATCTTGTTTGTTCACCACCAATCTGCTCAGCCTTTACAAGAGACTGCTCAGAAGCTTTTACAAATTTTCCGGGTCCACACTAAACGGGAACAGCTTTACACATCAAGGGACTCTTACCCAACAACCACCACCAGAATTCCTCACGGATGTCTGAGTGAGGTAACTGCTTCCTCTGTAGCTGAGGTCAAACCAATAAGAAGCCAAAATAGTTGCTAGAAAATACAATAAAAGGCTTGCTCTTCGAGCCCATGTTCTTTCTTGAATACATATCTTGCTTGCTTCCCTCTGTGTTTCTCTGCTTGCCTATTTCCACGCTGGAGAAATCCGTGTTCTCTCTTAAACAGGTACTTCTTTTTCTTCCCTCACGTCTTTCTAAATAAGTTTCAATAAAAACTATATTGCTTCACTTCAAAAAAGCAATGAAAGGTGTTACAGAATTGGGTTAAAATATCTAAGTTTTCTTCTGTGGCCCAGGACTACATAGTTCAACTTAATAAATGTCATATGATGGATCTAAAGAATCTGCGATTTATATCACCTACGATCCCAACTACATTAACAGAAATGTAAAACTACAATGACCAAAAACAATTTTTGATAAAGCCCTATTAACGTACAAGTATGAGGGGAAAAAAATTCCCAATAAAGTAAATCAATGTGTAATTAGTAAGTCAAATCAAACATATCCCCAAAAAAGAACCAGCCTGTAGTTTCTCTCTATATTTGCCTTGTTATCCACTCAAAAAAAATCTTCCCACCTTCTTCAGATGGAATCCTGGTGACCATGAACTTCTACAAGCATGGCTCTGGCATGTGGGTACTGGGACATTTTTTCCGAACTGCAATGGGGCCGCCCCAGCTCCCAGGCAACCTCTGATTCCGGAAGCCATGCCCACAGCTCATCCCCCAGCACTATCTTACAGCACACAGCAACAAAGAAGAAAACTGGCTGGAGGGCCCCACAGCTCCCAGAGAATGCTCCAGGCCCCGTCCAGAGCCGATATCACCGGGAGGACCCAGATGGGGTAGGTGCTGCCGTCCTACCTTCTCCAGATGGAATCCCGGTGACCATGAGCTTCTGCAAGCATGGCTCTGGCATGCGGGTACCAGGACATTTTTTCCGAACCGCGTGGCCACTTATGCGGCCGCACAACATTTCCTTATATGCAAAGTGATCAATGAAAAGTAAATGACCCTGCCACAGAGGCAGGGTGGGACAGGGGGGTGGGGGGTGGGAGGGATACTGGGACCCGTGGTGGTGGAAAATGGGCACCGGTGGAGGGATGGGTGTTTGATCATTATTGCACAATTGAAACCCAAGCACAAAAATTTGTAAATCTATATATAACTGTACCTCATGCTGTTTCACTAATAAAAATTTAAAAAAAAAAAACACAATTGCACAGACAGTAAGATCACTTTTTGAAGTAAAATTCTGAAATGTAACCTGTACTTTGCATGTATAAAACCATCTGATAATGCAGGAAAATGGGGTTCATCGTGCTTTCTAAATGTAAAATTAAATTCATTTGTTTGAAAGATAAAAAAAAAGTTCTTCCATTTCTGGCACTGAATACATTTAAATGCTTTGTCTTTAAAGCTATCCAAAATACCTCAGAACCCTACTGAGTATTTGAAAGACTTCCTAGACGACAAAGAAGTCCGGGTTGAGGCCATCACCACCTATCCTTGAATCTGGGATTTTGGTTCAGATACCTCCTCCAGCACTCTGGAAGCTTCTGTTTTCCCCACCATCACAGCAGTATGTCGTGTCCTGTCCTATTAGATCTTCTGGACAAGCAGATGCCTCTGCAAACCACCCAAGCTTGAACCACAGGAAATGCTGCAAGGCCTCGATCACTGTCAGCCACCAAAACACTTCAAACACCATAGCAGCCAAACTCAGCCATCTTGGGGGACTCTGAGGACTGCTCGCCAACAGAAACGTAAATCACCTCTAGTGTGTTCTACCAGCAGGGCCAAATTTCTTAAGCTGATACACACCAAAAATCACAGGTACACACCAATCAACACAGGAAGATATCCAACACTACAGGCAGGTCTAAAACGCAATGTGAAAGCTGACTGTGACATCTGTCACCCCTTTGACTGCCAAGGGTGATTTGCCATGCTGGCTGGTTAGGGAGGTGTCCCGCCCTCCTCCCTCTGTATTCCTCAGATGTCCCTCCTGAAGCCTTGTGCACAGCTCAAGTGGCCGACTGCCCCGAATGAACAGAGATGAGTGATACTGAGGTGATACTGCTAGCACCTCCAAACAAACTCTCAAGGACAGTCTGATGACAAAGCCACTTCCCAATCTTGTGTTTACTCCATTGGAGTTACCAAACAGGTGTGCCAACCTTGAAGCTATTTCCGGGAGTGCTCAATTACCTCGCCAGCTTTTCCCAGCAACTGCCATCAGATCACTTCTCCAAAACTAAGGGTCTGCTACCAACACCACTCCTCTGGCTTCACTGGCTAAATGAAGGCCTCAGTTTTATGGAGTACTGTGAAGTTCTGTTCTCATGACTTTGTAAGGCACAGCTCCCCCGACAGTTCCAAGTCCCTGGCACTGTCATGTCATACTGCACCCACCAGTTAAGGACTGCCCTTAGAATCATACAGGTCAGATTCAGGCCTGTCAAACCTCGCCTTTCAATACAACTGCTCTTTCAAATAATTTCTAACACACCTCACCCATGAGTCAGAGTCACTCTGGACTCATGAGTTTCTATGTTACAGTTCTCTTGGCTGACAGACCAGGAAACTAAAATAACTAGTTAGAAAATATAAAATGTCTTTGTTTCAAAGAGTTGTCTCTGAAAAAGTTTTCCTAGAGTCCCACCAAGTTTACACTGTGTGAACAAAGATGTTCACACCAGTCACAAATTCCACCCATTAGCTGAGCTGGTCACAGCAACCCTGGTCCACCTGGTGCTCAAGTGGTAACAGCTAATCACTAAGGCCAAGAGAGCTTAGTCAAGAAACATCAAAAGAAAAATAACCCAACGCAAATGCTTGTCCTTAACTCTTCAGTGGGCTGGAGCGATGGCACAGCGGGTAGGGCGTTTGCCTCGCACGAGGCTGACCTGGCTGACCCAGATTTGATTCCTTCGCCCCTCTCGGAGAGCCCGGCAAGCTACTGAGAGTATCTCGCCCACACGGCAAAGCCTGGCAAGCTCCCCGTGACATATTCAATATGCCAAACACAGTAACAACAAGTCTCACAACAGAGACTTTACTGGGCCCGCTCGAGCAATTCGATAAACAACGGGAGGACAACTCTTTAGTAACACTGGAGAAGTGACTAATCTGCCACAGAAGGACACAGATGATGCATGAAAACGAATGCCAGGATGCTTTCCTACTTGGCTCAGAAAAGACAGTCACACCCGGGGCGGGGGGGCGGGGGGGGGGGGGCGGATAGGAAGTAGGAAATATTACTTCTGCAAACAATCTACCTCATAGGGCATTAAAATTTCATACCACATTGGAAATATACTCACCACCATCCTAAATGTGCTAATCATAAAAGAAAATGGATAAACACTAAAGTGGGAGAAAAAGCAGTTTTTAAAATACTGTTTTCCTTTTTATAAGACATAACAACTGGAGCTTTAAGAATAACAAAGTGGGCTGAAGGGAGAGCAAAAATGGCAAGAGTGTGTGCTTTCTGTGAGGGAGGCCCTCCATGAGTACCAAAGGAAGTGACTCCCAAGCACTGTGAGGCAGGAGTAAAACACTGCATCACCAGTTTTGTTCTGAAAGCAAACGGTTAGAGAGATAGTACATGATATGCATGTGGCCAACCCTGGTTGGAATCCCAGCACCCGGTAGGGTCAAAAAAAACCAACAACCAACTTTGTAAAACTGTATCTGCAAGTAATAATACAGCAAAGATGAAAGATATGGCATAATTTGAAAGCAGTGGCAAGATGAAGGAGAATGTTAAAAAAAAAAAACCAAGCACTTCTGTCAATACTGTACCTTATCGATGGCTTTTCCAACCCGTGAAACGCTGCTGTGGATGTCTTTGTGGTCTGAGGCCAATTTCTGAACGGTATCCTTTATTCTTTTACAGCACTGTGTCAAAACAAGTGAAAGTGTCCCTGATAACTCAGCATCTTGGCCTGTTAAAAAGAAAAGATGAAAGATTAGTTATACATCATAGCAAACACCAAGATGGCAAAGTTCAAATAGACCTTTAGAACATGAAAAATGGAAGTGAAGGGAAAAAAATCCATGAGTTTTAAAACAGCATGTCCTGGATGGGACAGACAGTAGAGTGGATAAAGCACTTGCTGTGGAAGCAGCTGGTCTGGTTCAAACCCCATCACTGCTAGGAATCCCTGAGCACAGAGCCAGAAGTAAACATCAAGAACCACCAGGTGTAGCTCCAAACCAAAAAAAACATAAAAAAATGAAACATGTTCATTTTTTTTAAACTGAATAATGATGAGCTACACTTACAAAGCTTTCATGTTGAGTTTCAGTCATACAATGATCAAACACCCATCCCTCCAACCAGTGCACATTCTCCACCACCAATGTCCCCAGTATTCGTCTTCCCCATCCCAGCCCACCCCACACCTTTATGTCAGACAATTTCCTTCTTACTCTCACTCTACTTTTGGGTATTATGGTTTGCAGTACAAATATTAGGAGGTCATCATGCTTGGTCCTTTATCTACTTTCAGCACACATCTCCCATCCTGAGCAGTTCCTCCAACCATCATTGACTTAGTGATTCCTTCTCTGTCCCCGCTGCCTTCTTAACCCTGCTCATAATGCAGGTTTCTGACCATGGAGCAATCTTCCTGGCCTGTCTCTACTGTCCTTGTGAGACTATGATATTTTATATTCTACAAATGAGTGCAGTCATCCTATGTCTCTCCCTCTCTGACTCATTTCACATAGCATGATACTCTCCATGACCATCCACTTATGAAACAGGTTCATATTTACAGACAATATATTATAAGTAAATATTTAAGTTTTAGAAACTTAAAAAAATTTACTATAACTATAAGTCAAACTCCTTTTATAATTACTAAAAGTGGTACAGAATTAAACTACTCCCAAGGTCTTATTCAGAAAATATTCTGTCTAAATGAATGTGCTTACTTTTTGATCCCCTTTAATTGCTCAAATCATTCCCAAATATCTTCATTTTACTGAATTTCAAGGATAGATTAATCTAAGTTCTCGACAGTCCACATTATCTATGTAAAAAATAATAATGTCTCGATACCATGATGCTCAGAGGCATTAACACAGCAGGTCTGAGCCTGCTATCCTGACAAAGGTCTGCTGCACAGATGGCCCTTGGCTGGCATGTGGAAACTAGGGTTTTAGAACAGTTCCCTCCACCTTCACTGACAGAATGGCTGGCTATGCTGAAACCATTTGTAGCATGCAGTTTAGGCCAAACTCCACTTCCCTTCTGGGAGTCTGAAATGTTGATCGCGCTAGACAAAAGGTACCTATAAGTATCCCATAAACACCCTGAATAACCCTCTTCATATTGGCTCCATTTGATGCTGGAAGAAGTGACTCCACTGGAGAAGATTCTGAAAGCTCTGTCCTGATTTCCTCTGCACTTTGCCTCGTGTACCTTTGCCCTTAGAAAGTTTTTCTTCACACCTTCTGTGTTAAAAATCCCAGTCATAACTGGAGGCTGCATGTCCTCCTCTTCACCACTGATACCTAGAGATGGGCCTGGTGATCCTGGACACACAGCAAGTCAAGTGAAAGTTACTATAGTTTATATTCTCTTTACCTGTGCTACTTCTTCAGGAAAAAGGGAGAAGGGAAAAGGGGTGAGGGGAATCCACCCATATCCATCAATTACCTCGTATTTCCCTCAACCTGCCTCCTCTGGCACCCCACAAAGGTAAGCTCAGTTCCGTAAACCAGTTCTCAGGCTCTTTTCCTATGGCCATCCGTTATTCCCAGGTTTCTTTTTGTTTTATTCTGGGCCAACACCGGGCTGTGCTCAGGGCTGACTACTGATTCTGCTAATGGATCACTCCTATGGTTACTCGGAAATCAAACCAGGGTTGGCAGCATGCCAGCCAAGTGCCGTAACTGCTGTACTATCGTTCTGCCCCATCCCCCTTTTTGGGGATCCCTTGAAATATCTCTGTATCTCTCATTTGAGAGAGGTCATTCTGACTGACTTCACTCAGCATGAAACCCGCCAGTGGTTTTAATACTTTAATTTCCACCGCCGCCCCCCCACCAGTCACCTGTAGGCCAACGAAAACAAAGCAGATAAGTAGGTCTTTATAGGACCTTGCCCCCACCCATATCCAGAAATCCTAACTAAAGCTGTCTGAAAGATGACCCAGTAATTTCAATATGAACAAGTCCAAAAGTACAGTAACCCTAGGAGGTGCATTTCCTTAACAAATACTTATTTAACATTCATTATGTGACAGGTGTAGTGTGGCACAAAATCAACTGTCCTAAAAATTACCTTCCAGTAACTGAGATACATAATAGCTGTTAGAAAAGATGAAGTCATGAAATTTACATATAAGTGGTACTACATGGAAAGTATCATGCTAAGTGAAATGAGTCAAAAAGAGAGGGACAGACATAGAAAGAGTGCATTCACCTGGGGAACATAAAGTAATAAAATAGGAGACTAATGCCCAAGAATAGCCGAGATAAGTACCAGGAGGTTTACTCCATGGCTTGGAGGCCAGCCACACATCCTAGGGGAAAAGGCAGCTCAGGTAGAGAAGGGAGCACCAAATAAAGGGTGTTGGGAGGATCCTCCCAGGACGGGAGATAATTGCCACTCAATGCCTCTTTTGCAAACCACAGCACCCAAAAGGAGAGAGAGAACAAAGGGGAATGCCCCGCCATAGAGGCAGGGTGGGAAGGGGGGTATGGGGGAGGGTGGGAGGGATGCTGGGATCATTGGTGGTGGACAGTGGGCACTGGTGGAGGGATGGGTACTTGATCATTGTATAACTGAAACCCAAGCACAAAAATTTGTAAGTCTACAGCTGTACCTCCTGGTGTTTCACTAAAAAAAATTTTAAAAAAAGAGATACATAATACCAAAAACAATCTTATTATAAAGTATGATGAAAGGTGATAGATGCTGTTCCCGTAGAGGGAAGGCAGTGATGGTGAAGTGGAATGAAAGATGGAGAACACTGATGAGTTGAAGAATTGCAATCTTAAACAGTGTTGCTAAGAAACTACATCATACTATGATCTGAATGAAATTGTGGTATTAGTCAACTTGATAATGAAAGGTAGCAGAACATGCATGGCAGAGAACATGTATCACTTGTATGAGGCACTGGGTTTGATCACCAGCACACACATGCACACAGGTGTATATACATGCTTTTCTGGCTTTAGGATTATTTTGAGAAACAGAAGCCACCTGAGAAGCTAAACAAACAACTACAACAAACACGATCCTCCCGTTGCTCATCGATTTGCTCGAGTGGGCCCAATAACATCTCCATTTTGAGACTTGTTGTCACTGTGTTTGGCATATTGAATACATCACGGGAAGCTTGCCAGGCTTTGCCGTGCGGGCGAGATACTCTCCAAGAGGGACGGAAGGCGAGATACTCTGGGTAGCTTGCCGGGCTCTCCGAGACAAGTACAAGAGAAATCAACATTTATAAAAAGTACAAACAACCCTTTTGTAAGAGAAATCAACATTTCTCCCTTTCTGAAAAATCCGATCAGAAGTGATAGAAATGAAAAGTCTGGTAGGTGATATAACAAAAAATGCAATGAACAAGCAGAGCAGCAGAATAACAGCAGATGAGGAAAAGATTAGAAGCTCCAAGATACAGGAAACCTCTAGAAAACAAAAGACAAGGGGGGGGGGGGAGGGGAGCCTGAAGAGAAATGAACAGAAACACCAGAGAGAACAAGAGATGAGTTCAAGTGAAACAATGCAAGAAATCATGAAGAAATGCAAGAGTCCCTAAATAAAAGGAAGTTGAATTCAATGGAAAATCACTTGCTTAAGAAATCATAGATAAGAATGTCCCAGAGTTGAAAGATGAAGGCACTCAAATCCGTGAGGCCCAAAACACAAAAACAGACCCAAACAGAAAAGGGTCCAAGATACACTGTAATCAGAATGACCAAAGCCAATGACAGAGAAGAAATACTGAAAGCAGGCAATATGATCAAAAAGGAAATCCATAAAATGCAAAGAAAATCTGTAAGATTCATAGAAGATCTATCAAATGAGACTCTATATAAGCCAGATGAGAATGGTGCAATATAGTTTAAAAACTCGATGAAGGGCTGGAGTGATAGCCCAGTGGGTAGAGCGTTTGTCTTGCACGCGGCCAACCAGAGTTCGATTCCCAGCATTCCATATGGTTCCCCTAAGCACTGCCAGGAGAGATTCCTGAGTGCAAAGCCAGGAGTAACTCTTGAGCATCGCCAGGTGTGACCCAAAAAGCAAAAAAATAGAAAAAAAATAAAATAAAAAAATAAAAACTCAATGAAGTGAACACCTTGCCAAGAGTATTCTATCAGTTAGATCACCATTTAGATTTGAAGGAATAATATAAGATTTCATGGACAGGCAACAATTTAGGGAATCTTAGTCATGGAACCAGTTTTACAAGCATTAAGGAGCTTCTTTAAAGATAAAACATCTCAGACAGGTGTGTTTATTTCTAGCTAGCTTTTATACTTTTTCAATAATGAATTGTTTCATTTATACTGGATGTTCTATACCTACTCAGGTGATATACATCTATAGATTTTTTTAAATTAAAATATTTTACCAATTACTGGATGTACTTAAAAAAAAAAAACTTCCACCAAAAAAGATTGAGATATAAATAGATGAAAGGGTTGTCAGAACACTGTTAATCACTGAAGTGATATGATTAAGTGCGGAAGGGTTAATCATATTACTCTACTTTTTCTGTGAAAATTTCCATTTTATTCGTTATAAAATGAAAGAAAAATATCACCTCAGTGCCTATATGGAAAAGCCCATTGATTCTTTGACTTGAGTTCAAAACATGATCAGAGAAAAAAAAAAATTCTGAGTCACTGGCATCAACATGATGTAAGATTCTAATTGCAAACTATATGCGCCATTCTCTTATCATATGCTTTGCACATT